GTTCTCTAAATTAGGGTCCCCTTTATGGTACCACACCCTTATAAAAAAAGACCCCTTAATGGGACTCGAATTTAGAGAACTACCCACATGGGGGCTGGGGTTCATGGCAGAGGCTAGTTTGCCGGTTTAGGATTGCGGAGCTGAGGGTTTAGGGGTTCCCGAAGGGTCCATGTACCCAACTAGTAGATGCTCTGTCCCCAAAGTACCCAAACAGGGATTACTTCAAGGCCAAAGTGTATACGATACAGGTACATGGACCCTCGGGGGTTTAGGGCTTCAGCAGAGCATGGGGCTGACTGTTAAATAGCCTCTTCCATGCTCCCACTGCTTCGTCAATATGTCTACGGGCACATGGTCGGTCAAAAGCACTGGTTTTAGGGTTTAGGGGTTTAGGCTGTTCAAGACCATGGCACAGTGTATCTGTCCATCACAGACTTCATGTTGCCACATCTACATTACTGTATGTCAACTATACTGCCAGAACCCAGCCTGAAACTGTAGCAGCAAGCAAGCGTGATGAATGTGTTACTCGGCACATGTGTGCAAATTCAACACGCCGCACGACGGATGACTTCACTGGGAGCCGATATGGTAACATAATATGGTCCGAGTTGTTGTTCACGCTTCAACTGATGGACAAGTCCAGTGGAGCAGATATCTTCCAGTTCATTCTACACGTCTCGATTGCTAACAGGTCACCCAACTTTCCCAAGATGTAGGCTGTTTTGTCTCCAAGCCTTGACCGTGATTCAACTTCCTGTCGCTGCTGTGAGTGAAGGAAATCAAGCCAAGGGCTCTTCGAGAGGGCAAAGGATCCGTAGCTTTGCCAGCCATGCCAAAGAGGTTCTATGACGACTACTCGGACATGTACCTCAAGAACAGCAGTCTCCAAGGTCGCAAGCAGCACATGAGTGGACGGCGCCACATCAACAACAAGATCGAGTACTGGCAGATGCTGATCCGAGAGAAAGGCCTGACACCACCGATCTATCCTCCTCCTCCCGGAATGGTCTTGCCGATGCCAAAGCTGGCGGCAGCAGCTAATCCAACGGCCCCGGCACTGGCCAAGCTCGGTGGGGTGCCTGGCATGGCGGGTATGATGGGTGGATTGCCCCTCGGCCACACTGGAAAGAATGTTTTTGAAATGAAACATAGTACTCGTGTGTTTAATGCTTTGAAAACGGCCTACTAGCGCTAGACTTTGTAAAGAGGAACAAAGGTGGAGTCTGCAAGCAGCCTGCATGAACTGTCCAGCAGAAAGAAGTGTAGGAATGATTAGCGGCCAACAGTTCGGTAATTCTCTAAATTAGGGTCCCAGCTTGCTGTACTATTGGGGGACCCCCTAAACCCCTGAACCCTAAACCCTAAACCCTAAGCCTAAAAACGGACTCATTTGGTAAACCCCTCAAAATCCCCCCTTTGGGAAGCCTCCGAGCAGCGCAGAACTCCCCGAAGAAGCTCTACAGAATCCTGATGAAACCATCTGCAAAAGACCGGTTTAGGGTTTAGGAGTTTAGGGTTTAGGGGTTGAGGGTTTAGGGTTTAGGGGTTTAGGGTTTAGGGTTTGTATAAATTGCCCGAAGAGCGTCCCAGAAGTCCACTACATGCCTGAACCACCCGAAGTCGAGTTTTGATTCACGGCCTCCAGAACTCTTTAAGCTAACCCCGAGGCCCGAAGCAATCTCTGAACCTTCAGCCTTATAGTATAGCTTTATAGTAACCTTTATAGACAGCCTTTAATCGTAAGCCTTACCTGTAGCCCAAAAACCTACCTGTTAAAGGACTTGTAGAAAGAAGCCTTCATGAGGAAGCAAAAAAGGTAGGGTTTTTCGAGCAGCGACAGGTACGGGAAGGCGTCACGTTAAATCGTGAAACCTAGACCCTAAACCCTAAACTCTACAGTAAACCCCCAAAAAATTTGGAAACCGGATTAAGGACAATTCGTGCTGGGATTCCCTGCACAATACTCTTAAGGATTGAGGCTATGGGCTTCCAACTTTTGGTCTTCTACTATACCCTGAAACCTAAAACCTAAACCCTAAACCCTAAACCCGGACGGTTGAGGGTTTAGGGTTTTAGGGTTGAGAGTTTGGGGTTGATGACATAAAGCCTGCATTACCCATAATAAGGAACATACCATAATTCCCATAGTTTAGGGTCCTTAAGGTAATGCAAGATGTATATCGTCAACCTTTTTTTCAAAGCCACCTAGGCCTGGCATGGCAGGGATGATGCCTGGACTTGGTCTGCCTGGCGGTCTGCCCGGATTCTTTGACCTTCTTGGGGTACAAGTAGTAAGGTTTTGGGGGTTTAGGGTTTAGGGCTTAGGGCTGCTTGAATCAGGTTCATGATGGATTCTGGAGTACCTACTATGCATGAATGCTTTTTTGAAACTGTTCCTTGAAGGAGCCGTCAAAAGGAAATAAAAGTCTGTACTTGTCTCCCTGGTTACTACCAATTCCAGCGGATTGGCTTTGATATTTTAAAGTAGTAGGGTAGGTGTAGCCCTTCTTACCTTCATGGGGAGATACCACGATCTCGTAGAGTGGGTAACCTCTTAACCTTTTGGAGACATTATGTTTCTTTTAAACCCTAAACCCTAAACCCTAAAATGCCTATATACTCTGTAGGTTACTGGACAAGTAAGGAATGCCCACCATACCAAAGGCCGGGGGAATGCCAGGAATCTCCGGCATTTTGCAAACCCTAAGGGTCCATGTACCCAAATAGTAGATACACTTCGGCCCCAAAGTACCCAAATAGGGACTACTTTAAGGCCAAAGTATATAGATGGACCCTAAGGGAAAAGGATGTTATACGAGTTGTTTACGGCTTCCCAGAAGGTTTCTACAAGGCTTGTATAAGTCATTTAAGACTTCCACAAGGCTTTGCACGATAGCTGCGCGTAGTATTTTGCGTTGCGTACGACAGTTTATGCGTTTAGGGTTTATCCTGAGGCTCATGGACCCTTGTAGTGAGATCCCTAGACCCTAAACCCTAAACCCTAAACCAAAGCCGACTTAAGCATTCCCCTGGAAAGCCCTGGAGTCTTAGGGTAGGGGTGAGGCTAAGGTTTCACGCTTTAGGGTTTGGGGGTTTAGGGGTTTAGGGGTTTGGGGGTTTGGGGGTTTGGGGGGTGTAGGGGTTTAGGGTTGCAAGGTAGGAGTTAGGCTTCATTTGCTCATGGGACATACTTCGGCTGTAAACGAGCCCCATTTTCCTGTGCTGCCGCTGCAGGCTCTCCTGCTTCATGCGCTTAAGGACACTTTGCAGTTTGGGCTACTGAGGTCAGTTTGGTCTTCAAAAAAGGTGTGTATGTGGGGCCGGGGATCGGGGCTTTCATGTACTTCAACCCTAAGCCCTAACTCCAAAAACCCAAACCCCTAAACCCTAAAACGCTGAACCCTAAACCCTACACCCCTACACCCCTAAACCCTCAAGCCCTAAACCTCTGAACCCTCAACCCTGCATAACCCAGGAATGGCGATGCCGAAGATGTGAGATCCAGACGAGAAGTTCCGGGCCTCCTCTGAGTGCGCCATGGGAACACCCGGCCCGGTAAGTCGAGACGTCGTTCGTTGGGGTTTCAGGGCTTGGCTTTAGGGCCTAAGGGTTTAGGGCCTAGGGTTTCAGGCTTGGCTTTAGGGTCTTAGGGTTTAGGGCCTAGGGTTTAGGGTTTAGGGCCTTAAATTTTGGGGCCTTAGGGTTTAGGGTTTAGGCCTTAAGGCCTAGTAAAGCTTGCGGTTTAATTTGGGGCTTATATCATAGGGCGTATGATTCATGGGTTTTGGGTTTAGGGTTTTGTTTTTCGGGTTTTGGGTTTAGGGCTTAGGGCCTTAAGGTTTACGGTTTAACGAGGGCTTATACGGTGGATGGTATAGATCCTGCATGACCCAGAACAAGGAATATACCAGAATTCCCATAGTTTCGGGTCCTTAAAGTAATGCAGGATTTATATCATCATCAGCATCATAGGGTTTATGATTCATGGATACGGGGTGATCGCTGGAAAGAAATATCTCGAGTCTGAAGTCAGCGATAGTGCTGTGACACATCCGGGCCGGCAGAATCCAGCTTGTATAAACTGCCAGGAGTGGTGGGCAGCTTGTGAGCGCACCGCCTGGTTGCTGTTTCATGGTACCTGTCTACCCGAAGATTCGAAGTAGTCATTGTCATATCCAAGTGAACAGGGAAAGGGATAGTAGTCAGCACAGACCGACAACTCTGGGTGATTAATCGTTAAGCCCCGATTGCACTCTCAAGAGGCGACAATTACATTAATTTGCAATCAATACGGGTCAGGAGCAGCTCTCGCTGATTGTTGAGGGGTTTGACACCTAAGCTCGATAGGAGCTGCTGTGGACAACTTGGCAACAGACCGGCAAAGCCTAGCTTCTGAGGTGCTTGCGCTGGTATGGTTTTGATCCGACATGACAGCTCATCGATGTGCCAAGTTGTACAGGCTGAGCGCGACGCTTTGCCCACAAGGATGAAAATCACTGGTGAACTTGTGTGTTTAGCAATGGATATTCCTGCCTGTTTTCAGTGCATGCTGTGCAAGTAGACAGCAAAATTTGTTTTCTCTGTCTGCATGAGCAACACTAAACCCTAAACCCGGAGCAGCCCTAAACCCTCAGCAACCCTAAGCCCTAAGCCCTAAACCCTGAGCACCCCTAAACCCTAGACCAACAGATGGGTCAAGCAGCAGGTTTGTGCCACCCTTCTGGGGGAACTCGGGGGGGTTGTGCTAACGAGGTGAAGCCTCTGACTTGATACCAAAATTTTCTTAACTTCAACAAACCTTCACCGGGGTTCCTTTAAACGGCTTCTATAATAAGAGTCACCCAAGACGTCAAAGTACCGTAGATAATGCAAGGCTGCTTCGTGGTCAAGGTACGTATCTCCACACTTCACATTTTGCGTGCTTCGAGCGGCTGCTTAGGTTAATTCGGTGTCCATGAAAAGAACTGTGACTGTGAAATTAAACGCCAAATGGCTAATTCTCTAAATTAGGGTCCTTTTTAGGGTCCTTTATACGGGTGCCGTATTATATTGGGGACCCAAAGGGCCCTAATTTAGAGAACTATCCAAATCCTAAAGAACAAGGCCCCAAAGCCTTCAACCGGACGCCAAGCCCAAAATCCTGCAGGGCCCTAATGCCTAAACCCGAGTAGAACCGTTATGGCAGCCCACGCCCGCAAAAGAAACCTAAACCTAATTAATTTCCAAACCCTACATCCAGTTCAAGGAACAATGAGTCCAAGACCAACCCTCAGCCCTAGTTACGCCCGCAAACCTGAGGCTTATATCCCTAAACCCCAACACCCTTACTGAACCCATATGGGTTTAGGGTTTAGGGTTTCACTTGTACATGCCTTAAGGGAATCCCGAGCCCTGAAACTTGATCCTTAACCCATGTGGAAACCTTCTAGATCCCTTAAAGGAACCCGGGCCTCTTCACGCCTATGGAACCCATTATAGATCCCCTTAAACCTAGGAGTAAGGTAGACACCTCTTAGCGGGGTACTATACTCCCCCTACAACAGTATCCCAACATACTCCCAAAGGTTAACATTTGGTTCCCCCGGATACTGGACAAGTAGGTAAAGGCACCCGTACCTGAAAAAGTCATTTGAAGGAGCCCAACAAAAACTAAACCCCTAAACCCTAAACCCTAAACTCCCTAAACGCCCTATGCCCTCAACGCCCTAAACCCTAAGCCCTAAACCCCTAAACCCTAAACCCTAAACCCATAAATCCTAAACCCTAAACCGCTAAACCCCAAGCCATTGCTTTGGAGGAGCGAGCTACCATCCTTGCCGAGGCATCGGGCTTTTCGCCGCTTGGGGGTCGGGGCTGCGGAGTTAGGGTTTAGGGTGTAAGTTGTGTTTAGGAGTTAGGGTTTAGGATTTAGGAGTTAGGGTTTAGGGTTTATGGTTTAGATTTGTGTTAGGAGTATTAGGGTTCAAAAGGCTTAGGTGTTTAGGGTTCAGGGTTTAGGGTTTAGATTTGTGTTTAGGAGTTAGGGTTTTAAAGGTTTAGGGGTTTAGGGTTTAGGGTTTAACTTACTCAGCGTATGCCTTAATCCCTAACCAAAACCATGGCCCTGCACCCCAACCGCAATCAACCCCAACCCTAAATACACACCGAACCCCCGAAGCCACCCCTTCGCCCCTGTAGAAAGCTTTGTTGGGCCCTTAAGGGAACCCTGAAAAGAACCCTGACCCTAAACCCGCAACCTCGGTTTAGGGTTTAGGGCTTGGGGTTTAGAACCCTTAGTAGAGTTGGTGGGAATGCCTTCGTGGCTGGTGAGCAGCGAGGGTCACTCATTGAGGAATCGACAGGCACAAAACCCCTGCATCGTAAACCCTGACCCTACACAGTGTGTGTGTGTGTATATGTATATACATATATATATATATATACTTACTCTGGATAGGTTGAGAAGTAGTGGTCCAGGGCAACGGACATGTTTTGTAGTGCTGATCGCAGATATGGCGTTGTCTGCACCGCGCTTAGAGCAACTAATCACCATGGCAGGCCAGGCTCTGACTGCTTTCCCGAAGCAGATAGGGCTCAGGGTCACAAATGCGTTGCACAAAGGCAAGGGCAGTCTTCCCGAGCTCTTGCACAAGAACTGGCAAGTCTACGCTGACAGGGCCATGTAGCTTACAGTTATCCGTGCTGTGTCTCAGGATGTCAAGGGTAAGCCCTTCTTCAATGAGAACACCTTCGGCTACTCTGCGATCACCGTGAAGAGTGGCATGATCATGGCTCTCGGCTTCTTGCAGACCTACAACAACGCAGTCCTGGAGCGAGCAACATTGGAGCCGGCAACATTTCAGGAGGTGGGTTTAGGGTTTAGGGTTTAGTTTACAGGGTTTAGGGTTTAGATGAAGAACATCATCACCGACATTTTAGGATTGTCGGCTTAGGGAATCAACCCCCGAAGCCCGTGAACTAAACCCTGTACATATACCCCACATGAGGTTTCCCTTACACGAGCCTCAAAGACTGTAACAGAGTGAGGCATGTGCGAGAGAGGGGCCCTCGCAGGTTCAGGAGATGGAGAAAAGAGTTGAATTGATTTAGGGTTTACCCTAAGGGTCCATGTACCACATAGTATATACTTTGGCCTTAAAAGTAGTCGCTATGTGGGTACTTTGGGGCCAAAGTATCTACTATTTGGATACATGGACCCTTAGGGTTTAGGGCTTAGGGTATAGACGATTCGGAAAGGACTTCAAAAACTGGTTCTTGCTGAGGATCTTCCTGTAAGGTACCACTATGGAGATCCTTAGCAAGGAAGGGGTTCCTTGTTTTCGGAACTTAATTCAGCTCCTTGGCAAGAGCACAGCAGAAGGTGGTTGTGAAGATTGTAGAGGGTTTCTTTTGGGAATCCCTTGGCGTTTAGGTGGCAGGTTAAAGTAGAGTAATCAGTACCTCGGTTTAGGGATGTTTAGGATTTCGGGTCGGTAAGAAGCTTACTTTCCTTCTAGCTGCTAGCTTACTTGGCAAGTCTCCTGATCCAACCATCAGGGTTTAGGGTTTAGGGCCTAAGCCCTAAACTGATCCTGCAGGTAACCATCAGGGTTTAGGGTTTAGGGCCTAAGCCCTAAACCCTAAATCATCAAACTCCGACATCGCCTGCATCCACAGTGAACTGCGGCCGCTATGGAGACTCCAGCTAGACTCGCTCGCACACGCGCACCCTAATCTGTCAGAGCTTCTTAAGCACATGGGGCCGGTGGATAGTTATTGATTGTTTACATCAAGGTGGGTTGCAAAAAACCCTGCACCAACTTGAGAAGTCATGAAGCATCTGCCTTTTCGACAGGTTTACGGCAAGCCAGACGACAGCATGGAGGCATGTTTTATCTAGGCCATTGCATTGCAGTAGGTGACTTACCCTAAACCGTAAACCCTAAGGTAAGCTGACTCGGCACGGTTCGGGATTAAGGTTCGGGCTCGTGGAACACTTGAGGCATGATCAGAGGCTGAGCAAGTAGACCACAATTTGAGTCGTAAGGGCTTTGTGCATTGGTTTTTCCTAGCTGCTACTTACACCTATACTATACCCTACTTATGTACTGAGTCCCTGATTCTCTATTGGGCTCCAAATGGTACCTGTGTTCTTTTCTGCTTGAAAGAAAACAATAGAAACAAAAGCCGTTTCTAAAGGGAGACAAGGGAATATTTTACGAGGGTCTGCTCTTACCGGACTTCAGCAGCTCGGATTATCCAGAACTCCTGCGCAAACACGAATCAGGGCCCCCAAACGCGACGGGTGGCCAGGTCTAAGTGTCAACATGCTATCATTTGCACCCTAAATCAGGGTCCCTGTTAAGGTCCCTTTTATAAGGGTGCCGTACTATGCTTGGGACCCCAAAAGGGGCCCTAGTTTGGAGCACTACCCATTTACATTTCCAAGCTGGAAAGGCATGCTCTTTAGTTCCGGGACAGGGGCTGCAGAGAGGAACGGGGCCTGACACCACGTGGTCGTGGAGCGAGTCCACCCTGGAGTGGGTTGCTGTTATAAAACCTAATGGTAGCCGAGAAGCCCAGCAATGGAAACTCCAAGAGATAGTATAGGCTCTCAACAACGCTTGCAAGTGCCTTGAACTCTACATCCGCAAGTCTTGATAGAACTCGTGAACCATGTATGCCAGGTACCTGGGTTGGCGGGGACTTCCCCAGACAGCTCACTACCCCTTTCATTATGGGCTACAACATCCTATTGTTGCACCCTCCCCCCACTCTAAAAAGAGTCGAAAGGAAATTTCTGATTTCAAGCACATTGGAACTTCCCAGTCTTGAACCCTACACCCTGGACCCTAAACCGTGCAACTTGAAGCGTACGAACCCCGAACCCTAGACCAGGAGCCCTAAACCCACAAGTACCCTTAGCGTTAGATGGGTTTCATTCAGCCAGGAGTTGGGCGACATCGGTGATGAAGCCGCGCTCGAGAGGGTGCCCTGGGAATGTGAACGCTTTTGGTTGTCGATTGACATAATTAAGGACTGTAAGGGCTCTATTAAAGGGCAGTTGGGGGGTCCGGGGTAGGGTCTTAGGGCTCAGGGTTTTATAGTCTCTAGGGGTCAACTGAGGGCTTGGCTAGTTTTGGGATTAGGAACCCTAGGAGTCCATGTGCCCAGATAGGGTTCCTTTAAGGAGTACTATAAGGTCTCTATAGGGGTTCCTTTAAGGGTTTTATAGGGTTTAGGGTTTAAGGGTCCATGTACCCAAATAGTGTATACTTTGGCCCCAAAGTACTTATATAGGGACTACTTTAAGGCCAAAGTATATACACTGTTTGAGAGTCTCTGAACCCTAAGCCTCTATCGCCTTAAGCCATGAGCCCTAGATCAACGAATCCCCTACAGTACCCAGGAACCTCTGAAATGACATAGCTGTGCCCCTGCTTGGAAGATCATGGGACTTAGCCAGTAAGGTTATGAATGCCTATGAGTTATGAGTACCTTTATAGAGGCTATGAGGAATCATAAGTTCAGTTCCCTCATATATATATACACACATCTATATATATATATAACCCTAGTTACTATAAGTCCCATAATCCTATAAGTACACCTAAACTTACCCCCCTTATAGTAACCCCTGTAGTAACCCGTATAGTAACCTCTATAGATCCGTTTAAGCAGCCTTTAACCTGGATCCTTTAAGTAGAGCCTACATTCATAGAAGCCTCGACGCGAAACTCCGGAAGCCTAACTTCCCGAAACCCTCATTCCTAAATCCCTTCCTAGTAGGCGAGTGACTTACTTAACCCATGGGTAGAACTTTAAACTCGTTGGCCTTAGATGTTTGGCCTGTCTTGGAAAGTTTGAGCTGTTTTCAACCCGGCGATTGAACAAGAGGGTAGTTCGTATTTCCATATAAAGGAACCCTAGCAACCCATAATGTAGGTGCCGTTGTAGAACCCTCGTTCTGCCGTCTTCAACCCTTTTAAACCCCTCAAACTCTAAACCCAAAGCCCTAACACCCTAAACCCTANNACCCTAAGCCCCACACCCTAAACCTGGTATTTCTGGGAACCCAAACAGCAGTTCTTACAGGAGCACTGCAGCGGCCTGTACAAAAGCCTATAAACCCTAAAGCGCCTAAAACCTTAATATCGGACCCTTTAGAGGAAAACCTTTGTAAAGAGCCTTACAGTAACTCTACAACGAAAGCCTCAAGGAACCCTCTCAGAATTTTGAAAGGGGCCCTTGACGCACAAAAACCCACCCACACACACACACACAC